CCTGCAGCCTCTACCGCTGAGCGCAGGCCTGGAGAGACGGCGAGCCCACCTCCTGCGCAAGCAGTGTGGCTCCCTCACGCCTTCCACAGAATCGGCGCGGGTCCCTCCTGGTCCTGGCGGCACGCTGTGGTTCCCACTGGCTCCAGAGGAAGCGGCGGGCAGCCTACACGTGATATCATGTGATGGGCTCTAGTAAATTTATAATTCTTTACCAAATTTATTATCAAATATGTAATTGGATATGGAATGGAATTTCAATATTTAAAAAATACACTCAACGCCATATTATTTCTTTATATCTATAAAATCTACTTTTTCACGTTCTCCTAAAAGCAGAAAGATAGCCCAGGGAAGAACATTGTCATTAAGGCTAAGAGGGAGTGTTTCCAAAGCAAACTCCATTAAAGTGGAGATGCCCAAGTAAACTGTCAAAGAAATCACTGATGGCAACAGTACCGGACTGACACACGAGTGCAGAGATTAGCAAGAACCAGCTTACCAACCAGTCTGCACCTGAAGACTTTACTTGTCATTTGGTGGGGAGGACAGGACATTAAGACAGAGTTCATATCTAAAAGTCAGTACCACTTAAAGCAAATCTAAATTACGTAGGCCTTGTCACCATTCACAGGTTTACTAAAATCTTAGGCACAAAATACTAGTAATCTTTAACACTTCTCCACAGCAAAAGAAGCCATCAACTAAACTACAAGAAAGACCACTGCATAGGAGAACATATTTGCCCATGTTATACCTGGTAAGGGCCTAATCTCAAAAAAATTACAGGGAACTCATACATCTTAACAAAAGATAAACAACCCAATCAAAAAATGGGCAAAGAACATAAATACCTAGTAGACACTTTTTGCAAGTGGACATACAGAAGGCCAAGAGACATATGAAAACATGCTCAAAGTCACTAATCATCTGAGAGATGCAAATCAAAACGACAATGAGGCACCATCTCACACCTGTCAGAATGGCTATCATCAACAAACGATAAGTGCTGGCGAGGATGCGGAGAAAAAGGAACCCTCGTGCACTGCTGGTGGGAACGCAGACTGGTGCAGCCACTGTGGAAAACAGTATGACGTTTCCTCAAAAAATTAAAAATGGAACTCCCATTTGATCCAGTGATCCCACTTCTAGGAATATATCCCAAGAAACTAGAAACACCAAGCAGAGAGGATATATGCACCCCTATCTTTATAGCAGCACAATTTAAAATAGCTAGTATTTGGAAACAGCCTAAGTGCCCATCAGCAGATGAGTGGATTAAAAAACTGTGGTACATCCAAACAATGGAATACTACACTGCTATAAAAGAGAAAGAACTCTTTTTATTTTTAATATATTTTCTATTGATTAAGATATTA